CTCTCTCTCTCTCTCTCTCTCTCTCTCTCTCTCTCTCTCTCTCTCTCTCTCTCTCTCTCTCTCTCTCTCTCTCTCTCGCTCGCACGCTGCACAGTATAGTGAATGAGCCTCGCTGCACAGTATAGTGCATGAGCCTCGCTTTTCTCAAGTGTATTGCTAGCTTTGAGCAAGGTAAGGTGTGGTGGCAAGCCCTTAGACATCCCTCAAATTCATTCTGAGCAGGCTGTTGAGGTTCAACCTCCTGATTAGTCGGTGACAATACAGCGAAACAGTATCACAGTTAAGCGTTTCATTGGGATGGTGTCTTCACCAGATAGACAACACACAAACTACTAGCGAAGGTGTCCTCGATTTCCGAGCAATTCTTTCCTTGTCGTTTTGTGTGGGCAAGAACTCACCCAGCAGCTTCGAGGATTCGACACCAACTGACTTCCACCATAGCATCTTTTCGTGCCTCAGAGGCTTTGGCTGCAGCTTCTGCTGCTGCCTTCTTCTCTCGCTGAAGACGAGTGAAATGCATGTAGCCTCCACCAAGCAGACCGCCAAGGGACAATTTCGGTGCTTCCTGCTCCTGCATTTGTTGATAGAACAAAACGTCAGACATACACACGAACTTCATCGAAAGGAATCGCAGAAGACAAAAGAAATCCTGTGAATTGACCAAATAAATAAAAATAAAGACACGTTTCCAGCAGGTTGCTACTCCCCACCAACAGTCTGGAGCCATCCGCAGCAAACGTCTATTGTGGGCTGCTCATACCACTAACAACAGTAGCAGAGCAGATGTTCACGGGGGGGGGAGGAGGGAAGACAGTCCTTCTGGAGACCTGTTAAAATTGGAACGATACAGAGAAGATTAGCATGGCCTCATCTGCACAAGGATCGAGACAAAAAAAAGACACTAAAGCATTCAAGGCTAGTAGATGAGCAAAGGGGCAACAGCAACAACAACAATGCAGAGCGAAAAATTTAGGACTGGAGGTAGAAAACATTCTCCAAGTTAAGGGGTGTGTGGCTGGCAGAGGTAGAACAACTTCCAAGCTGCAAGTAGAGAACAGATTTCTTTGCTGCAGGCCTAATTCCCAACTTACACACCACACCACCTGTCCAACAAGTCCTCTTTTTTTTCATGTTAAGTTCGTTGATAATCTAAACAACAACCTCTCCAGAATTGTATTGTAAAGCCGCGCCTCGTGGCACGAGGTAGCCCTGGCACGAGAATTGTATTATTAGGCCCCTTATGTTAAATAGAACACATTCTCCGCTGCAAGTAGGACACATTCTCCACTGCAGGCCCCCGCGTGGGCACAATAATTGTATTGCAAAGCCCCTTGTGTTAAGTCCTCTTTTTCCGCCTCCTACTCCGATCGTATGGTCAATAATCAACGATTCCCCGTGATATCTCTGAATGACAACACCAGCCAGATCAGCCTCTAACTCTGATTCCCGACTGCATACCCCATGGGACGAGGTTGCCCTGACCCCCCGCCATATCTGTTACGGTACACCACGGCCCGCTTTTCCAACACCGACAGGTTCACCACATTGCATGACGAGACTTCCTGCCCTCACCGCCTGCTGCTGCTGCTGCCTCCTCACATTCCGATCCCGACTGACCTCTGTGTCTGACCCGTGATGCGAGTCCCCTTTCCCTGCACTCTCATCATCACCATTACTTCTGTGTTCCGTTCATCCCCCCACCATTACTTTTTTTTTTTAACAAATTCAAATCATATTGGAATGATTCACTCGAGGCCGGGGACCTCACCATTACTTCTTCTTCTTTTCTTTTCTTTTTTTTTTTTTACTTTCAGAACACGATGAAATCTCTAAAAGGACACCTACCTTTTGGCCAGATGGCTGGTTCCAGTCGCGGAGGCAGAGGAAGAAGTTGACTGGATTCACCTAGCGGAATTATCACTAGCGGCTGACTAGAAGCTGAGGGACCCGGCTGATGTATGGGTGGCGGTAATGTCAAGATCCTTTGCAATAAGATGACCAAAATCTAAATTCTGGAGGGATGTGTTAGCTGCATGGAGGAAGGCTCAACCGACGGCCGCCATTCCCCCAAAGTCGAAGGAGGAGGTAAGATTTTGGACTGGGGAAATTCAAAGGTCAAGGTCAACTGTCGGGTCGCAGGTACCGTATCCAAGTCCACAAACAGATACACATGTGTTGTATGCAGGTACCGGGCCAAGACATCGGACCAAGGGAGAAACAGTTGCAGACCGATCCAGGCCGTCGCCGCATCAAGATCTTGACGGCACAGGACCACTGCAGCGGGGCATTGACCCCGAGTCAACGCTACTTAAAGTTGACTCCTGGCTTTGACATCATTCATTCTGTCGCGAGTCAAGGCTGACTCTACTTTGACGCGACGCTGGCTTGTGAGGTGCTGGCTAATTGCTAGCTGGAAGTTGCCGTTTCTCAGCGGCGACACGCTGCTTGCTTGCTGGCATGGGGGCTGGCTTGCTCTTGTCTACAAGGTGCTGACGTGGCAGCGCCACGTGTCGTTGCTGACGCGGCTGCTGCCACGTAGGGTGTTGGTGACGTGGCTGTACCACGTGTTCATTCGCTGTTCAGGCTATCGTCGTCCGGAAGGAGGTCAGGGACTGTGGGGATGAGATGACACGTACCTGTGTGAGGCGACATTGCTGCTCCGTTGATCAAGAGAATGCTGATGTGCCACGTGGCACTTTGAGGAACTCAGATCTGTATCTGGATTGACGCTGCTGGAGAGGGGGCAACTCTGATAGTGGAACAGATCTGTTCGACATTATTCATCAACAAGACTGGATTACTCGAGTTGCTTTGTCATTGAGCCATTGGACTATTGCTGCACGAGCGCTGATGCTCGTGCGTTGCTGTGAACAGTATCTGGATATTCAATGAGTGTTATCTCGCCTGGGTTCATTGCACCTTGGGTAAATTCATGAAATTTTCTGATGATGGGACGCTGGGCCCGGTTTCCAGCAGGTGTTGCTCCCCACCAATAGATGGAGCTTTTTTGTAGAGCTTTTCAAATCTGAAAAAAAAAAA